GTCAGGAATGGCTAAGACACACCGCACCGCTGTGTCCTTGCCTCTATTTTATTTTCTTATTCTATAAGAAGAAATTATATCAAAGCTTTCCCAAACACACCTGGCTCTATATGGAAAAAGTAAAGAAGTAAAAGGGGAATGGCTGTGTGACCTGGGATCTTCGTATCCAAGTTGATGATCTGATAAAAAAGGTAATTTAGACCTACTTTGCATGCATTTCCTTTGGTTGACTAATTTCCAAATAGGATGAATTGACTCTCGCATCAAACAGCTATAGACCCCGGGGGTATGAAGGTTCAGGAGTGCATGCACTGTCCAATTATGGGTTTGATACCCAGGAGAACTCATCCTTAGTGAAAGCATCCTTAAGAGTCCCCCCCTCCCTCGTTTTTCTGGCCTGATGGTGGTTTTGACCTCCATTATGAAAGTCATGCAAGCTAAATGCATTCAAGAATGTTGCAAGCTAATTATACCGTATTTATAATGAGGTAGAAGTGGGTGCGATGGAAAAGCAAGTGTCAGGACATTATAGGAGGAGAATAAAAGCCTCCTGCTTGATGACTCTTCTTCTTCCTCCAATGGATGACAGGAAATATTAAAGAAATGGTCCAAAAAAGAGACGTTTGAGAGACGAACTGAACTCCTCTGCTTTTCTTTGATGAAGGGTTCTTCTCCTGGAGACGTTACTTCACCATCTTCATGGATGTTTCCATTGTATTCGAGAGCAGATCTGCAACCTCCCCTCTCCGGTTCCTATGGTAACCGGTCAGTGTCTGTCTGGGGGCCTGTGTTTGTGTGTGTTCATTACAGCGGCGTGGCTTATTTTAACATAATGAATCAATTATCCTTGCCGCTGAGCGGACCCATCTGAATAATCGCACCCTGAAATAATGAAACCATCCTCAACACGACATCACTTTGCGGAACCACCCCTCCCATTGGATGGGCCGCAGAGCTCTGTGTCTGCATGCGTGTAAGCAGAGAAGGGGGTGTAATAGGACATCCATCTGACATCATTTGTCTTCCAATCTGCCCCCTGCTTTGCCAAACCCAGCCTCCAAGAACTGCTTCACTGGGCTGAGGTGGTGCCCACAGAGAGAGGGGTTCATTCACCATGAGTAGGGAGGTTCACACTGCCCCCTACTGGCTAAAGATAATACATCCAAACTAATTCAGCCTTGGAAAAAGGTACAGTCTGGTTTTATTGTTTATCTATTTACTTTTAAAATTTGCCACAGAAAGCAGCTTTATTTTAAAAAACATGTACGCTCCACATTAAAACAGATGTATATGTGTTTCTATGGAGTTAAGATGTGAATTTTAAGCTAAAGTGTTTGTAAATTTAAACTATATAAGGAAAAATATTGAAATATTATAGCAGAAAAAAGGACAAATAAGTTTTCATATATAAGACAGAATATTATGCTATGTTATCGA